TGAAAGATTACCAGAGCCAGAAAAGGACATTACATAACTCATCAAGAAGAAAGAACAATCCTGAGTGTGTCTATACACCAAAGCTAGAGTTGCAAGACATGGGAGGCAATGACAATATAGGAATGAAAGTGGTGAGGCTGGTTCTTCTCTTTGCCGGCGTGGCTGAGAACACCCGAGGTTGTGAAGGAGGTTTCGTGCTGAAATCTCAGAGCCAGGCCTGGGAGGCAACTCTAGCTCACGTGTGAGTAGGAGCGCCTGAGCTGGGAATCCCACGTGTGCTGCTTGGTGGGGGTGCTTCATGTTCACGGGGAAAGACAAAATTTGTGCTGCTGTAGTGAAAAGTCTTCCACTGTCCCATGGATTTTTCAGTCGTTTTTTTTCCTGTGTAAATTCAGAACTTTGTTCCAACTGAATTCTATCTTCTCTTTGACTAGTCTACCAGCTTCCTGAGGTCTTTCTTAGAATCTATTTGGGTAAAATATGAATTACTTTTCCTAGTTCAGCATTCTGTGGACATTTGAATATCATGCTATCCTTTTTCTTATCCATGTTTCATTGATCTAGTTAGACATTTTCATGAGTGTCATAGCTGAGAGTCAAGTCTAAAACTTTGAGAACCTCACTGTTAGTTTGAAATTAGCCATCGAAGCCTTTCTCTGAATTCAATAAGGTTTCAATCATCTGTGTAATTGCCATTCATTCTGTGTCTCTGTCCACAGAATGTATTGTATATAGCATATTATATTGTCCACAAATATATTATAATTTGTGACTTTAGATTATGATTTATGAGTATTCCTTAAACAACCTTCATACAGTGTCATCCTAAACATGTAGGAAAGGTCCAACTTGACCTCAGAAAGGAGGCCAGTTTCCCTGACAAGCCGCACTCAGTCCTGTCATAGTGATCACAGGGGACCTGACTCTCAAGCTTGAATTTTCCTTGGAAGCACTCTTCCCATTCATTTAGGTGTGCACTCAGTCAGGTCCCACTCTGCAACCCCAGGGACTGGAGCCCGCCAGGCTTCTCTGTCCGTAGACTTCTCCAGGCAAGAATACTGGAGTGGGTGGCCATTTCCTTCTCCAGGAGATCTTCCCAACTGGGGATCAAACCTGCCTCTTGCATCTGCTGCACTGGCAGAGGCATTTATTTGCTCAGTTCACGCCGTGCGGAGGGCTGGGAAGGAGGAAGGAAAAGTCCTGTGGGCCCCCGCAGCTTGCATACCCGAGGAATCACCAGGAGCGTGCGACAGTTTCTTCCGCATCCGTCTGGACGGGCCCCGCGGAGTGAGCTGTATCAGTGCTGGGACTCGGGCGGGCTCCTCTTGGAGCATGAAAGGCAGGGGGTGAAGTCCTCTCCGGTGACTGGGGAACCTGGAGGTGGGGCTTGCTCTGTGTGAGGCCTGACTGGGGAGCTCGGGACTCTCACCACGACCCGCCTTCTCTCCCCCTTTCTGCTCTGCTTTGGAGGCGGTCTCCTTCTGTCTCGTTTGGCTACTACTGAGACCCCCTGGCCCCTTATTCATGCCCAGAAGGGGAGAGAGGGACTGCTCTTTGTCCTGTGTTTCCAGTAGAAGCCCAGAGATTGCTCGGGATGGACCGGCTAAGATGGCGATCCCCAAAGCACTTATGAGTGCACTGGTCCTCTGCTTGTGTTCAGTCGCTCGTGTTTTCATTTAATGCAACTCGGACATCTTCAGCAGCCGGCTCTGGAACGTGGAGACACAGGAGGAAGCATGCTAAGTTACACAGCGTGGGCCACTGCGCAGGTTACCAGGCTGGGAGCTATGGCTTCTCATTTTAAGGTTGCTCAGCTGGCGTTAATGGTGAAGATACCACACGCCAATGCAGGAGACATGAGATGCGGGTTCAGTCCCAGGGTCGGAAAGATTCCCTGGAGGACGGCATGGCTGCCCACTCCAGTATTCTTGCCTGGGGAATCCTATGGACAGAGGCGCCTGGGGGGCTATGGTCCTTGGGGTTGCAGAGTCAGACAGGACTGCGGTGACTTAGCACGCATGCATGCATGAACCAGGCAACCCTCTGTACCTTGGTTTTCCTGGCACAAAATGAAGGGATTCCAACACAAAGTGACCTCAAAAGAAGCTCATTATTAGTAAAGACATCAGTCTCGTAGAAGAGAGACATTATCTGGGACATGGGCTAGAGTTCATGTGTAATCATCAATTGTAATTAATATGTCACACTAGACAGTGGGTCTCGTCTAAATTTCACTAAAATGCTCAGTTCCCAATGCTCCAGGTGCCCTCCTGTTAGGAGAGGGAATTCATTGCTTTCCTTTTCAAGGCCTGAGATGTTGTCAGAACATCTTGCTTGATATTTTGGCTCCTCTTGGGAATAGTTTCTATCCTGAACTGTTTTTCCTTCAGAAGCTCTGGACTCTTACCAAAGAGTCGCTGTTTTATTTACGATCCAGGACTTAAAGCCATTGACCTGAGACTTAGTGCATCTAGTAAATGGTTCTGGTTCCAACTTCTTGGGAAACTGGGCTCTTGCAATCCCTGTGACCTTTCCCCGGAGTCCCTCCTCCTCGCTCCAATTTAGGGTAATAGGGCCTGATTGCAAGAGATCTGTGCAGAGGACTCCTTCCCTGGAGGCAGAAGGCAGAGTGTCACGGGTCCAGGAGGGGAGTGGTGTTTCCCTGGAGGCAGAAGGCAGAGTGTCACGGGTCCAGGAGGAGAGTGGTGTTTCCCTGGAGGCAGAAGGCAGAGTGTCACGGGTCCAGGAGGAGAGTGGTGTTTCCCTGGAGGCAGAAGGCAGAGTGTCATGGGTCCAGGAGGAGAGTGGTGTTTCCCTGGAGGCAGAAGGCAGAGTGTCATGGGTCCAGGAGGAGAGTGGTGGTTCTGGTGGGCACTCCGGGAGGAGAAGGGAGGCTCCGACCCCCAAAGGGCCAGGAGTCAACTTTAGGGGGAGTCCAGGCTCATTAAGGATCAGTTCAGTTCAGTCGCTCAGTCGTGTCCGGCTCTCTGCGACCCCGTGGACCGCAGCACTCCAGGCCTCCCTGTCCGTCACCAACTCCCGGAGCGTGCTCAAACTCATGTCCATCGAGTCGGTGATGCCATCCAACCATCTCATCTTCTGTCATCCCCTTCTCCTCCCACCTTCAATCTTTCCTAGCACTGGGGTCTTTTCTAGTGAGTCAGTTCTTCACATCTGGTGGCCAAAGTATTGAAGCCTCAGCATCAGTCCTTCCAGTGAATATTCAGGACTGATCTCCTTTAGGATGGCCTGGCTGGATCTCCTTGCAGTCCAAGGGACTCTCAAGAGTCTTCTCCAACACCACAGTTCAAAAGCATCAATTCTTCAAGGCTCAGCTTTCTTCGTAGTTCAACTCTCACATCCATACATGACCATTGGAAAAATCATAGCCTTGACTAGACGGACCTTTGTTGGCAAAGTAATGTCTCTGCTTTTTAATATGCTGTCTAGGTTGGTCATAACTTTTCTTCAAGGAGCAAGTATCTTTTAATTTCATGGCTGCAGTCACCATCTGCAGTGATTTTGGAGCCCAAGAAAACAAAGCCAGCCACTGTTTCCACTGTTTCCCCATCTATTTGCCATGAAGTGATGGGACTGGATGCCATGATCTTGCTTTTTGAATGTTGAGTTTTAAGTCAGCTTTTTCACTCTCTTTCACTTTCATCAAGAGGCTCTTTAATTCCTCTTCACTTTGTGCCATAAGAGTGGTGTCATCTGAGTATCAGAGGTTATTGATATTTCTCCCGGCAATCTTGATTCCATCCTGTGCTTTCTCCAGCCCAGCATTTCTCATGATGTACTCTGCATAGAAGTTAAATAAGCAGGGTGACAATATACAGCCTTGACGTACTCCTTTTCCTATTTGGAACCAGTCTGTTGTTCCATTTACAGTTCTAACTGCTGCTTCCTGACCTGCATACAGGTTTCTCAGGAGGCAGGTCAGGTGGTCTGGTATTCCCATCTCTTTCAGAATTTTCCACAGTTTGTTGTGATCCACACAGTCAAGGCGTTAGTGTAGTGAATGAAGCAGACGTAGATGTTTTTCTGTTGTTTTTTCTATGATCCAATGGATGTTGGCAGTTTGATCTCTGGTTCCTCTGCCTTTTCTAAATCCAGCTTGAACATCTGGAAGTTCATGGTTCACCTACTGTTGAAGCCTGGCTTGGAGAATTTTGAGGATTATTTTGCTAGCATAAGCAATGAGTACAATTGTGTGGTAGTTTGAGCATTCTTTGGGATTGCCTTTCTTTGGGATTGGAATGAAAACTGACTTTTTCCAGTCTTGTGGCCACTGCTGAGTTTTCCATATTTGCTCGCATATTGAGTGCAGCACTTTAACAGCATCGTCTTTTAGGGGTTGAAATAGCTCAGCTGGAATTCCATCACCTCTACTGGCTTTGTTTGCCGTGATGGTTCCTGAGGCCCACGTGACTTCACGCTCCAGGATGTCTGGCTCTAGGTGAGTGACCACACCATCGAGGTTATCTGGGTCATTGAGATATTTTATGTGCAGTTCTGTTTATGCTTGCCGCCTCTTCTTAATATCTTCTGCTTCTGTTAGTTCCATACCGTGATACCTATAATCAATTGTTCCATCTCAAGTGTTTGTATTAACTTTCTGAGAACTTTCTTTACACACTGTATGTAAAACCTCAAAGCCTGAATTTGTGTGTGCTTGTGGTGGCATGTCCAGAAGAAGCTTCATTTTGTGCATTAAGCTGTGTGTGTTCCCAGGTGGCGCGAGCGCTGGTGGTAAAGAATCACCCACCAAAGGACACATAGGAGAATGTGGGTTCGATCCCTGGGCTGGGAAGATCCCCTGGAGGCGGGCATGGCACCCCACTCCAGTGTTCTTGCCTGGAGCATCCCAGGGACGGGGGAGCCTGCTGGGCTGCCGTCTGTGGGGTCGCACAGAGTCGGACACGACGGAGGCGACTTGCAGCAGCAGCCGCCCCTGGAGTGGGGGCCCCGTGGGCTCCTCCTCCGTGTCACTGCGGTCCTCACTGCACGCGCCGGTTCCCACCAGCGTTCAGAGGACGAGCGGACGTCTCGTCCGGGACCTCTTCCCACGGGTCCACGGCGACCACCGCCCCCCTGTGCTGGGGGTCTGGCTCCAGCCCTGCGCCCCGTGGGGGAGGGGCAGGGAGGAGACTGACCAGCGCGTGGCCCTTCCTGCCCCCTCGCCGCAACCTGGGAATGCCAGGCCCCGACTGGCTCGGGCACAGGGCGAGCCTGGCCACCTCCTGGGGGCAGCGGCCCCTGGGGGACCCGGATGACGCTGGAGGCAGGCTTCTGCGAGAGGCCAGGCCTGCGAGGCAGGGCGGGGAGGGGTGCTTGGAGCCCACCGTGTCCGCCCCAGTCAAGGGTCCCAGCAGAAGTCAGGTGCCTGCAGGGAGCAGCGCCTAGAGAGGCTCTCTTCTTCGAGCTACTGGTAAATGGTCAGCGTGTCTTTTCTTGTGAATTGTAGCAAAACTAAAAATGAACAGGTTCTGAGGTTTTGCCATCTGTTTCCGATTGAGTCGGGTCACCGCATCGTGCCGTCTGCTCATTTTGCTGAGCCTGACTCTGCTGGTCTCTGGTGTGAGCCCCCCGGGGCCCTGGCTTCCGTGGGGCACCAGCTGCCTGTGCCGGCAGCCGCTTGGACGGCGCCCCATGTGTGGGAGGCTCCCGGGCACAGGGGCCCCCACGCAGGACCAGCGGCTGGGCGCGCAGTGACCCACCCCACTCCCACCGGCTCGCTGCCTAACCTCTCTGGTGTGCCGGTATAGATGCGTGTGCGCACACACAACTGAAAATTAGGACCTTCTTCACAAGGTTGTGGCTGTGACCGAATGTGTCAATACCTGTGTTCGGACCAGTGAGTGACGTCAGTGAGTGCTCCTGACGCGTCTGTTGCCGTTTTTCTCATTCTTCTTTTATTATAATTAGGAATGGATTCTTTACCTATGAGACCAAGGCGTCTGGTTTCAGCAGCGGTTGGAGAACTATGTGTGGAGAATGGGGACTGGGCCACGTGATCCTCTTTCTGTCCCCCGTAAAATTCCTCCTCGTGTTGCGTGGGACGGTGTATTACTCTCTCTTTTTACTGCACTAAATACACATAACATAGAAATTACCCTTTCAACTATTTTAAAGTCTCCAATTCAGTGGCATTACATACGTTCACAACCTTATCTAGTCATCATCTCCATCATTTCCAGAACCTTCTCATCTTCCCAGACGGCATCTCGTTCCATCAGACACTGACTCCCCTCCCCTACCACCTAACCTCTAATCTACTTCCTGTCCGTGAAGTCGCCTATTCTGAGTTATCCCTGTGAGTGGAATCCTACAGCATTTATCCTTTGGCCTCTGGCTTACCGAACTAAGCACAGTGTCTTCTGCGTTCATCCACGCCATCGCAGGGGTCAGAGTCTGTTACTCTTTGAGGCCGGGTTGGATACACATGCAGTCTGCACTACAGACTACATCTCGTTTCCAGGGGTCTGTGGATGCAAACTCGTTTCTACGCTTTGGCTCCTGTGACCAGTGCTGCAGTGTACTCGGGAGCAGATACCTGTCCCTGCAGAAACCCAGCGCTTCCCCTTTCAAAGCTGCACCCAGCTACGATTTCTTGCAGCATATCCAAAAGTAGGCTGGAGTTTTCAAAAAGACCTCGTTAATTATCGAGGAGAACGGAAGAGAAAACCATGGGCATATGAGAAGCAGGAGACGGGTTCAGCTCCGAGACCTTGGTGACCTTGATGGGGACACGGGTCCCGTGTGGTCCCTGCTTCCCCCCAGGTCCCCAGGCTGGCACCGGGAGATGGGCCCACGTCCCTGCGGAAGCCACTGCCCATGGCCCACGACTCATCCTCACACACGTGTTGTGCTGCCCGTTGTCTGGCCAAGAAAGTGATTCTCCTTTATCCACCTCTCAGTTGGTTCCACGTGGCTCTCGTTTGGGGACAGACTTGTCTCAGGCCCCAGGTGGCAGGTAAAACTTCAATAATCATGTCAGTCCTCAAGTGAGACCCAATCCAAGGGACGAAGTCTGACAGGTGGCAGCATTCGCTGGAAATGCAGTGAGATGGTTGCGATGGTGGGTCCGCCTGCAAACATCTGGTGCAGACGTGAGCCACCAGGACATCCCCTCGCTGTTCTGACGTTGTTTCTCGTGGTGACAGACCACCCCAAGGCAGTAGTCTGACAAGGAGCCCCCGTCTACTGTGCCCATGAGTCTGGGGTTTGACTGAGTCAGCTGGGCAGTGCTCGCGCGGGGTCTCGTGAGGTCGTGGGCAGTGGGTGACTGGCTGGGCTGTCAGAGAGCCTCACTTGTCACGTGTCTGGCATGTGGACGGTTGAACAGCCGGGCCCGTGGGAATCTCCATCTCCGTCTGTCATCTTTCCACGAGTGCCTCTCCAGCGTGGCCAGGCTTCTTATGTGGCCGCCGTTGACTAGCAGCTTGCAAGCCTCTGCACTTCCTGTTCCACTTCAACCTTGGGATGAAGAACTGCTGATGCTCAGATATACATATGGTCTTTGACCATGACCATAGCAGCCTAAAAATCTATATAGTTAGCAAGAGAGCTCTCAACAAGGGCCCCAGGGTGTCAGATGCAGCCAGTTCCAACTGCGTGTCAGGCTTTTAACGTCCATCATCTGCTTTGTGAGCCAGGAGCCCACGCTGCCTCCTGGCAGGGCTGGAAGGAGGATCTGAACCCCCTGGGTCCTGGGAGCTGGTGGCGACCCCCGTGGGAGGCAGGGACCAGGGCTCCGGCAGCCTGAACTTAACTCCAGCTCCGCCATGTCTGCGGTGGCAACTTTCTCAAACTCTCTGACCTTCTCATCCTCTTCGGAAAAGGGAGAATCCTAGTGGTACCACCTCGTGACTGGCGTGAAGACGAGATTAGCCGTTTTTTTACCACAAGCCCTGAGAAAGTGGTCTGTCCCTGAGTAGTGCTCAGAAAAGCCATTAGCTAGTCTTACCATTCACACGAGATCTTAGAATGTTTGCCATGAAGCAGAGCATTTTTATTGACAAGATTTTGGCCCAGAAAACGTTGACGCGTGTATACATGAGTAGACACAAATAGAAAGAGGAATAAAAATGTTCCGATGGGTTGGACACAAAGGCAGCCCTCCTTGGGCAATTATGAAGCTATAAAAAGAATGAAAGCAGTGCGTCTCCTCAACACATTCCCAGAACAACTTGGCTCGGGGGTAAATTACAGTACAGAGGAGTGCTGAGTACCCCGGGAGCTCCTTTGCTCAGCCCCATGGAAGTTTCAGGGCTGAATGCATTCGTTTTTTTGGCAGCAAGAAAATCTGTCAAGCAGGAGTGTGAACGTGGGGATTGCCAAGCCTGAAACAACGAGCAAACGCATCTCACTGTTTTGAGGAGGCATCAGGGCCGGGCCCTGCAGCTGTTGTCCTGAATGATGCCCCTGGCTGGGGAAAAAGTGGAACGTAGTGATGTTATGATGAGCTGGGAGAGAGCGGCAAGGAGCAATTGCAATGCAGAGCGTGACGGACGCTGTTCTGTCCCTCGGAACTGCCGGGGCGCGCCGGACGGCGGAGCGGCACAAAGGCTCGCTTTCTCCCTTCCAATTTGGCAAGCAGAGACGAGGCAGCACACCACGCCTTTTGTTTTGCATTTTTTTTCCCTTGACATAATTATGTCAGGTTTGTAGAACGGCTTGGAAGTAAAGTGGATGAACCCCTTGGAGGCACAGAGCTGTACTTCTATCCAGGACAGACTTCCTCTTGCTGATTTATACTTGGCAAATCACACTGAAATCTTCTCTTGGGGTCGTTGACATGATGGCCAACTATTCGTCTTTGCCAACATGGCTTCCAGGAAGTGTGGATTTTATTTACATCGTTGCTAATCACATTTTAAATCATGATTTATGTCACAGGCAGGAAGATTCGACTCAGATCATCCATCAAGGAGACTCAATTTGCTGTTGGCTTCTTCTGCAGTCTAGAGGCTTGGTTTGGTGGGAAGTTAATGTTCTTCACAGAGGCAGGAGGTATATTCTGTCTTCCTGCCATATTTTAATTTCATATCCTTTCAAATTCGATAATTTTGTAGCTGAGAAAAATGAGTGGTGATTCAGATGTCTCAAGCAAACTAGTCAAAGCATATTCTTTTATTTACTGGGAAATTAATAACCTCTAACTTAACAAAACTACCATGGAATATATGGAGAATGTATTCTGCCATACCATTTGAAAGAAAAGCCATGTGTAAGAAACATTTTGTTTGGCAGAAATAACAAATATATATTATACACACAGGTGTATGCTTTTTTTTTTTTTACAGAGTCGGACACAGCTGAAGCAACTTAGCATGCACGTGTGTATGTATTTTTAAGTCTTTCCATTTTGAAGATTTTTTTTTTTAATTTATTTATTTATTTTTTTAATCACAACCATAGTGTATCTTTTTTTTTTTTTTTTTTTTACATGTATTCCCCATCCCGGTCCCCCCTCCCACCTCCCTCTCCACCCAATCCCTCTGGGTCTTCCCAGTGCACCAGGCCCGAGCACTTGTCTCATGCACCCAACCTGGGCTGGTGAACTGTTTCACCCTAGATAATATACATGTTTCAATGCTGTTCTCTTGAAACATCCCACCCTCGCCTTCTCCCAGAGTCCACAAGTCTGTTCTATACATCGGAGTCTCTTTTTCTGTTTTGCACATAGGGTTATCGTTACCATCTTTCTAAATTCCATATATATGTGTTAGTATACTGTAATGGTCTTTATCTTTCTGGCTTACTTCGCTCTGTATAATGGGCTCCAGTTTCATCCATCTCATTAGAACTGATTCAAATGAATTCTTTTTAATGGCTGAGTAATATTCCATGGTGTATATGTACCACAGCTTCCTCATCCATTCGTCTGCTGATGGGCATCTAGGTTGCTTCCATGTCCTGGCTATTATAAACAGTGCTGCGATGAACATTGGGGTGCCCGTGTCTCTTTCAGATCTGGTTTCCTCGGTGTGTATGCCCAGAAGTGGGATTGCTGGGTCATATGGCAGTTCTATTTCCAGCTTTTTAAGAAATCTCCACACTGTTTTCCATAGTGGCTGTACTAATTTGCATTCCCACCAACAGTGTAAGAGGGTTCCCTTTTCTCCACACCCTCTCCAGCATTTATTGCTTGTAGACTTTTGGATAGCAGCCATCCTGACTGGTGTGTAATGGTACCTCATTGTGGTTTTGATTTGCATTTCTCTGATAATGAGTGATGTTGAGCATCTTTTCATGTGTTTGTTAGCCATCTGTATGTCTTCCTTGGAGAAATGTCTGTTCAGT